TGTTTGAGATCTTGGGTGAGGGCAGAGCTGACACTCTGGGTTCATTAATGAACTGCCTGTATGCAACAAATCTGTTTTCATCTCTCCAAAAGGACTGAAATGAGAAAACATTTAACTTAACATAAACATCTTAGCAACCACCATATTTTCCAATATGTTTGACGTTACACTTAAGTGTGACAAATGTTATCAGCAGCACAGATTGCGTGTTTTCCTATGAAATCAATAAGCTAGCCCTGCAAAAGAGAATGCAATAAATAAACCAAGTGAATCATGTTTTCCACCCCAAAGAGCATTTTGCAGGGAATTATAGAACAGTCTGATATGGTTTTTGTAGTTTTTTTAACTTGATTACTTTGTGGATTAGACAGCTATTGCACATGCAAGTAATGGCAACGTCTGCCATAGGTTGTAGACCCCTCCTACAGAGTGACTTCTACTATTACTTGTGTAACAGTGTGATGGGAGAGATGCCATGGTGAGCACCATTAAAAGTCAATGCCCCGGCCGAGGGCACGGTAGCACTGGTGTGAGGTTAGCAGGGACCAAAAATAATACAAAAAGAGGTGAAAAAATTAACAAAAGGCAAAAAGAAAGTGTATTGCTGTGCCTCGTGACCTCCAGGCTGGACTTACCCTGTTTAGTGGGGTCAAGTCTGGTAGAGCAGGGCACGTAAGGCCAAAAGAAAAATTTGGTGAGTTAAAAAAGACAGCTGGGACTACAAAGGGGAGGCGTTGCCCTTCTACCAGAGCTCCGTCTCCACACTGGGCACGCCCCCGCATAATGCGACAAGGTACATAGAAGAAATATTTTTTCCATCAGGATAGAACAAAATCTTTGCCTTGTTGACGAAAGTTTACATTTGGAGTATTAATCTGAAGGTGAAGTGGTATTGCTGGAATTCATGATATCTGAGAAATAATTGGCCATGGACATATTTTTCTTCTTAGAAGGTGTGCAAACAGTTGTTTTCCCCCCACTCCTCTCCTTTTGGTCCACAGGACATGTTCCTCACACTTGAGAAGTTTCAATTAATTATTTTTAAAAAGAGAGGAACATTTAGATGTTTCAGCAAAGAAAATGTCAAACAGTTCCTCGAAGCAGACTGGGAGTGATTTTTAAATTGATTCCAGGCGGTGATCATGAGATGCTAATGACTTTCTATGCTACCAATACTCATATCATTGAGCTACTTGTAGTTCTCATTCACAATCTTTATTAGGATCACTTGAATGTACTCATTGTGGGAATAGATTAATTGCAGAACAGTACCGTTGCAATCCATGTAACCAGGTGTGCGGTTTTGTTGGAGGTGTTTGTAACCATGGAGGTGTTTGTGAGCTTAGAAGCTAGTGAATTACTCTGGTTTATCATAATAAAAGATAAAAATTAACAGAATAAAACAGAATACAGCAAAAATAATGAGAGAAGAGGGAGAAGAAGGACAGAGGAAAAGTAACAGAGAAAACAAACACCATATCCATACTCTTCCATTTAGCTTGTCATGTACTGTAGGAGAACCTTGTTCTGATCTATCTTGGAGACAATATAATAATAATGATAATAATAATTCCTTAGACTTATATAGCTCTTTTTTGACACTCTCAAAATGCTTTACAGCCGTTGCATCATCCAAGTGGGGATTGCACGTTATTGTTGGTGAAGGGGAGTTCCCATTACCTTGGAGACAATCACTCCAAGCGCTTTGAGTGGAGTGTCCAGAAAAGCACTTATATAAGTCTAAGGAATTCTTCTTAGTATTATTAAACGTTGTCTTCAGAGTTTTGAAAGACATGTACAAGATTGTTGTTCCTTCTTTATTGACTGTCCAGTGATTTCTTGTGCTGACAAGTGTGGCATTACACGGGGCCCAGTGTGGGGGCAGAGCTCTGGTAGAAGGGCAACGCCTTGCCTTTGTAGTCACAGCTGTCTCGGCTTTTAGATGATGAGCAACAGCTGTGAGGGTCCTATAAAGGCACCCTAGATGCCCCCCGAAGGGACAAGCAGGGACACCCCCGGAAGGGGGAGTTGTACACCAACAGTCCCGGAGGGGATTGCAACTGTGTATGGCAGGTCTTTTTCTTTTCTTTTTTTCCTGTCCCATCTTGTATTTTCACCGTGGCAAACACACACACACACACCTTTTTTCACGCACTAAGTTTTTGTTTTGTTTTTGCCTTACACGCCCTGCTCTACCAGACTGGACGCCACCAAATAGGGTCAGTCCAGTCTGGTTGCTGCTGTGCTGGCAGTTCTTTTCTTCCCAGGCTGTAACCCGTTAAATAGGGTAAGCCCAGTCTGGAGGTCACAAGGCACAGGGGTACACTCTTATGTTTTTTGTCCCTGCTAACCTCACACCAGTGCTTCTGTCCCCTCACCCGGGGCATTGACTTTTTACTGGTGAAAATATGTACACACATTGTCACAGTCTTGTTTGGCTTAAATTGTTCTCCTCAATTGTCAATTGTGTCCACACCAGTATCTCTAGTGAAAGAGATTTTTGCAGTTCCCTGTTTTACTGGAAAGAAGGAGCCAAAATGAAAAAAGGATGTTCTCTTCCTTCACAGCAGTTTAATTAAAAAAATGTATAGGTTGTGTTTTCAGGTTTACTTAAATGGTTTAAGTCTTACCACACTGATCACTGTCACTTTGTATCTCTTGGCAGTTTCAGTTCTGAAATTGGACTCGCTAAGTGTGGTGTTCCTCAGGGCTCGATACTGGGACCTCTACATTTCAGTATTTACATGTTCCCACTCCGTCAACTATTAAGATCACATGTTCTAAATTATCATTTCTATAACTATAAGGCTCTGCACTATCTGAGTTACTGTCATACTACTCCTCACCTCGCAACATTCGTTCATATAATTCTGGTCTCCTGTCTGTCCCCCTAGTCCATCTACACTCTATGGGTGACAGGGCTTCTCCTGCTGAGCCCCAAAGCTCTGGAATTCTATCCCTAAGGATATCATAGAGCCACCTTCCCTGTAGCTCATTCAAATCTAAACTCAAAACCTTCTTCCTTAGAAGGTTTTATATTTAACAGGTTCTATGTGTCACGGATGCTGGAAAGGCCAGTCGTGGAATGAACAGAAGAGCAGTAGAGACCCT